TGTGCACTGCACAGAGAGGACAGGAGAGGGGCTCACCAGCTTGTGCACTGCACACAGGGGACAGGAGAGGGGCTCACCAGCTTGTGCACTGCACACAGGGGACAGGAGAGGGGCTCGCCAGCTTGTGCACTGCACACAGAGGACAGAGCTGGTGAACCCTGAGCAGGGAGAAGCACATTCACAGAGCTCCACAGTGCCTCACAGGAGAACTAGCTCCTGCCCTGCTGTAGTTTTCAGGTGTTCACCTGGTGCACTCGTGCACTGAAGATCAATAACTTAATTCACCTTCCATCTAACAGGTATTAACCCACTTCTCATAACAGTTTTTATTAGTCTATTTTATTTCTATTTAGTGTTTTTAAATTAACATTTGATCAGATTTCAGTTCCACCTAAGTGAATTTTTTTGTTCTTAGTAGAATATAAATAATATTAATAATTATTAGAATGAATAACTGCTCTCAGTATACTTCACTCTCAGCTGAACGCGTTTTTCATTTACTCTGGCAGACTGTGCTCATAGGTACTGTAAATAAAAATATTACAGCTTCAACAGACCCCTTTTTTTACTGTTTCAAGGACTGCTATTCTGAGATAACATCTAGTTGGTGTTCCCTAATTTTCTGTCATCCGGTGGTTTAGCAGACAACTCGAGGTTCCCTTTCTCGTGAGAAAATACGATAGCTGAAGGCTCATCCACGCCACGGGACAATACCGGCAACACCGCCCGGAAACGAGCACAGAGCAAACATTCTTAAATGGTTTTAGAACATTTTAGTCTGTAGTTTTACATTTTTACTGTTTTTCTTGACATATCCATTGCATCTTACTTTCAGTTAAGTAGGAGAGACCGGTGCCGTCTTGCAAAGTCTTAATCTTTACTTCACTGCCCCCTTAACCGTTGGGTACCACACAGCCTGGCGCCCTCTAATATTCCTCTTTAATGTTGAAATAAACAATTTTAAAATACTGCAAACCCCACGGAGGGAGGAGTTACAAAATACTTCGTCCCAGTTTGAGCTAGACAGTAAGAACAAGCACAGGTGCCAGAGCCCAACACGGATTATGTCCTTACCGTGCCAGTGCGTGGCAACACTGGGCCCCAGGCTGAGAGCATCCAGCGAGGCGCCGAAGCAGGCTGTGCCGAAGAACAGCGCGACCGACACCGCCACGGCCGCGGCAGCGCCGAGGGTCACTTCCAAATGCAGCCGGGGGAGAAATGCTTTCACCTTCCTCAAGCCGTGCATCCTCCGTGGCTGAGAGCAGCTGTCCCGGCGCGTCTACGAAATTGTGGGGGGGACTGATTGTTCAGCTTCAGGTGATGTGGACTGGCCGGCGCAAGAGCATTAAAGCGAATTTCTCTCAGAACTTTTCAGCTTCATGTTTTACAGCAATGCATTTCCTGCTTCCGCTTTTTTTGTAGATACTTGCAGGAACCTGGCTACCAGATTCCCTGCAGGGACGCTCGTCCAACTCCAGCGTCTTAGCGCCTCCTGCTGGAAGAACTGGAAAACATCCCCGATTGACCTATGGACGCTGCTCGTACACCCACGCCGTGCGGCTTCTGTCGGGCGTGAACATCACGTCGCTCTCAGTAACCCCGTTCAGGTGCAAAGCAGGACCAGGCGCCGTGCGTGAGCAGCCGCTGTTCACGTTCATCACATTGACCCTGCGAAGACCCGTTGTGCACAGATTTAAAACGAATCTAGATGATAACTCTGTCTTTGGCGAAAGAGGTCGAGCGACTTTACCACCTTTTTATTATTTGATTATGTTACCCTGACGACGTTATACCTACTCTTGTGTGTATTGCACATATATTGTTGTTGCAACAAAAAAACAGAACAAATCGCAAAAAAAGACCATTCTATGTTCATCCTATTACTATAAATGTAAATATAACTGTAACTGCTTGTTCTGTTACAGTAATTCTTTGCAGGCGGCACGGTGAAGCAATGGTTAGTGTGGCTTCTCACAGCGCTGCGGCCCTGGGCTCGCTTGTGGGCCCTGTGTACGTTCTCTCATGTTGTCCCTTCTTTCCTCATGCAGTGCAAAGACATGTTAATCGGCTGCTGGGAGTGCTGGCCCAGTGTGAGTCTGTGTGTTTTATCTGTCCGCCCTGCGATGGACAGGGTGTACCGATCCCTGTGCTGCTTGCTTGCAGTAACAGGCTCTGGCCAAGGGTGTGTGTGTGTGTGGGGGGGGCTTTAGAGGTCTTAACTAGGAGCTGATGTTCGCGCCTTTGAAGGCGGGTAATGGGAGCTGCCTTATGGGGTATCCAAACACGTGGAGTCCCCTGGCGCCTGGTCACTGCGCTTCATTAACCTGAGCCCCAGCCGCATTGGTCCCCCCCCCCAGAAAAACATCCAAATAACCAATACCATTCTGCCCTATTAAGCCACTGTGCTACAAGACGGTATTTCATCTCCACCGCCTCGGCCACAGCGCTCAGCCCCGACACCGGCCAGCTTCCGCCTTCCGAGTGTCACGTGACTCGCAAAGGGCAGGGGGGGGAGCGGCGGGCGCGGAACGTACCACTGTGGGAAGCTGAAAGGGTGTGTGTGTAGGACTATAGGGTACACCGGAGGGGGGAAAAATCGATGTCGTTTTCACAATAAATTATAGGACGCATTACTCTAATCCGTACAGGGATAAATCCAAGAAAGCAACGCGGAAATTATCCATATTTTTTCGGTTGGCTATTTCCAAGGGCCCCGCCGCGCCCGGTTGGGCGGCGAGTGGTAGCTGCCGGCGCAGGCGAATAAGGGCCGCAGAGTCTCTCCTGCAGCGGCTGTGAGCAACGGTGTGCAAACCGGGAGAATCGGATATTGGGTCAAACTGCTGAAAAATGGCATCGGGTAAGCTGATGCATTCCGCATCTGAGCACGCCACGGCGCGTCCCTGGCTTAGCTGTGGGCGGCGGGGTTTAAAAATCCGGGAAATTTGAAACCAGCGCTTGGCTGCTGCTCAGCGTAGTTTTCGGGCGCTTCGTTGTCGAGTTCTGGTTTAAATAGATTGTTTTTTTTCCTTTTAAAAGCCCTCCAGGCAGCAGCTAGTGTTAACCGCTCCTTTGGTAGGAGGAAAACGGCTATTGAGAAGCAATGACTGCACCGATATGACGCATTTCCAAGTGGCGGCTGGAGGTAGTCCGCCATGTTTGCAGTGGGGGGTGGTGTGGTTTGGGCCTCCGCTCCGCAAATTATTCCTGTTTTGTATGAATCGCTGCTGCTTACCTTCTTCTCCTGACGTCAGGGCGGTTGTATCATCTCGGAAAATCGAAACTTGGCCCGGTAGATCTTCAGTGAAGTCCGATGCAGTTAAGGCCCGGGTTTGAGAACATGCCTGAGCTGCTTGTCTCTGCCTTGAAAGTGACAAATGTGTGATTAAAATGTGTTCTTTCTTTAAATTTGTAGATCCTGGTTACGGTCAGCCGGTTGCACAGCAACAAAGGTATTTTTTAAAGGGAGGGGGGTGTGTTTGGCTGTATTTGAAGTTCAGGCTGCAGCTGCGGTCGACATCTACAAGAGATCTACTTTCTTACACACCAAATAACATTTGGAGTCGCATCATGCAGTACGAGTTACAGTACACAAGTCTGCCCCTTTTACATGGTAATTTTGGTACCTTGCAGAAAATTACACTTATTGATAATTACACAATGCTACTTTATTGTTGACTGTTTTCTGAGAGGGCCTGCAGCTTGCTTTGTCCTGAGATACCTTGTGTAGTCACATGTGTCTAAAGCTAGAAATTGTTGAAAGCAGTCCTTTTAATGCTGCTGTAAGATAACGTGTTTTTAACTCCTCTACCTGCCTGCTTTGATGCACAGGCTTCTTATTCTAAGATGGAGTTGTGCTATAATTTGCAATGTAGGTCTTTATTCGTGTGCAGATTATTTTTTTGTCTTGTTTTATACTCTTTTCTTTGTTTTCAGCTATCCATCTTACGGAGCGCCACCATCCCAAGGCTACCAGACCACCCAGGTACTGTCCCTGCGTGGCTTTTTCATTCCTTCTGCCCTCTAAACTGTTCTGGGTTGCCTTTACTGAAAGGGGTGCTCATGGGGTTTCTTAAGCTTTGCCCTCCTCACAAAGCTGTCTTTGATGGGTTGGAGTGGCTGAACCGGTGTGCAGATATTGCATTTTCCTCTGCTTGTTTGAGACAAATCCGTGTTGTGCTCTTCTGGTCGGTGTCCAGGAAGGTAACGCACGCGTGTACACATCTGTTTTATGTGCAGGTTACATTTTTCTGATTTTCGTTGCAGAGTTATGGCCAGGGTAGCGATGGATCGGCTTCATATGGCCAAAGCTATGGGGGTTATGGATCAACCTACGGACAGTCGCAGCCTGGTAAGTCCGTTTCAGTCATTTACACTACCAGCATGCAATGGGCAAGGCAGGGTACGCCCTGGACAGGACACCAGTCCACTGTAGAGCAGACACTGACATTGGCTGATTTTTTTTTCCAGAGACAATGATCCTACTAGTATGTTTATGGACAGTGGCAGTGAACCCACATGAACATGTCCAGTCAGTACAAACTCTGCACAGATAGCACCCTGGGATTTGAACCCAGTGCCCACTGCTCTAAGGCTGCCTGTGTTGCACTAGACAAAAAAAAAGATCTTGCTGAGTTGTAATGTTTCCTCCTAGTAGGAGCTGTGGAGGAAAGACAGGACTGCATTCTGCATGCTCCCACCTTTTCCCAAAACCTGAATTGGCATATTTCTGCATTCCTTGTGGTGATATTTTTTTTTTCTTCTTGTTCACTTAGCTGGAAGTTATGGGCAGGCTACGCCGAGCTACTCTTCGGGTGCTTATGGACAGCAGCCAGCAGGTGACAGCTCAGAGACATCTGGAGGGTAAGGACATGAACGGATCTCTAACTTGCAACGTTTGCAGGTGTTCAGGCCATCTCTCAAAACTTGCATTGGAGGTGCTGTGATGTACATCTATAGAAACGTTCTTTTCAAAACCAAGTCTATGTGCAAATCAAAGGTCTAAATGGGTTACAAGCAAACTCCTCTGACTTTAAGCCTGACCTCCTCCTCTGGTGGCATGTTTCAGGTATGGAGGAAAGTCTTCGTATGGACATCAGCAGGGTGGCTATGGGCGGAGGAATCCTGAAGGTAAAATCGGCGGAGGAGTTTCCCAGTCATTGAAATCCACAGAGTGGTTCCCAACACTTGTTTTAGGGGGAGTCTGAGACTCCTGTTTTTTTTTTTTTCATTCCGGCTGGGCTTGTAGGCAGATTGCTTTCAGTTTTCTCCTTGTTTTAGCAGATCTTTTCGTATTGCTTTTGAAGAGGTGTAATTGGGTTTTCAGTTGGGGGTCAATCCTGTTTCAGTTCCTGACTTTAAGCTCCCCTCGTTCAGAAACTCATCCCAGCAAGGAGGGGGGGAGCCCAATGTGAAGGTTTATCACAAGTTTGTTGTGTTAGGAACTGTTTAAAGAGCAACGAGGCAGCATGCGCTTTGTAAATAAGACAGTGCTGGCAGTTCTGTATGCCGCAGTATTAGTAAACTGGGCACCGATAACAGAAAAATTGTTTAACCGAGATCTAATCAAGTTGTAAGCAGAACAGTTGAATGGCTGAGAGCGAACATCAGTGGACGTGGGATGGGGTTTGGAGCCACTTGTGTAAGATGCAGCAACAGCTCCTGTACCTCTGTGTGGAGAATGAGGATTGGCACAAGCTTGCAGGCCACCTGGGGAGCCCCCAGCCCCCTCCTTTTTACAAGTGGTCTGCTTTTGGGAGTGAATTGTGCTGGGAGGTGTTGGATCAGAGCCTGGAACGTGTTACACCTGCGCATTTCAAAGGTGGCTGTTTTTCCCAGATGATGGGGGCCAGTCCGAAGGGTACAGAGGCAGAGGTGGATATGACAGGGAAGGAAGAGGACCCTTCTCTGGGATGGGGTAAGTTGCAAAGCACTTAGCCCTGCCAGGTGTTCAGCTCGCAGTGCATGAGCACAGTTGCCTGAACTAGATGCTCATTAAGACTCCATCTTATAGTGCAGTTCAGACCTGAAATTGTTTTAAATGAAATGTTTTAGACATGCCATACCAGTAGGTTTGGTGTAGATGACTAGTCAAAGTGTGACGAGTAACTGAATCTCCCTTTCACTTTGCCCTGGTTGGAGTACGCCGTTTTATAAACCCAGTTCTTGTTAATGCTCGTAAAATTGAAGGCTGTTTTACCCAGTGGGTGATCACAGTGCAGAGCAGCTGGGGTTGCATCATTGCCAGGTTTTAAATGCCACCAGTTCCCGCTTCCTTTACCAGTGAATGATCATTATGGAAACATCCAGGTGACGCATTCAAGCACGGATTGGAACATGTGCGCCGACCTCGGCTGGGCTGGTAACTGAATACTGGAGACGTGCGGATTGTAGTAATCCAGTCTTTGTAGGCACTTTTATTCAGGAAACTAATAGAAATGTTAAGTAGGACACTTGACAGAGTACACAATCGGAAGGCATAAAAGTACAGAACTGTCACTTGGTGAAGACAAGGAGTAAGATGAAATTTCCTATGAAGTTTTACTGAGAAGGCATCTCTAAGCGAGTTCTAAAAAGATGCTTTTAAGTCCCATCAGTGATTTCCCTCCTGTGGGGGGGAATAAGAAGTCATCCAGGTGGCTCATTACAAATGCGTTCCACGTGGTGGCCATGTAGACTTTCACACAGTGTTAGATAGGTTGTGAAAGCTGGATACCAGCCTTCTGGCAGTGACAGACAATTATCAGTTCTTAAACAGCCTGGGAGCCTTTGTGAAATCTGGCTCTCGGAGTGCTGAATCTGAAGTTTCAGAGGTGAATTTTAAAATTTTGCCCCTTCTCCCAAGTTACTGGAGTAACGCTTTTTACTTGAATGAGACTAAAAAACAGTCCTACAAGAAGCACGATAACATATCTAGTCCTGTACAAGAATTGGAGTAAATGACATTATGGTCACTCATAGCCGTTTATATTGAGATATACTGCTAAGGACTTGAAAGCTGACAGACTTTCTGCAGACTCATCTCTGTGAGTTTGTGTGGTTTTTACGACTAGAGTTTTTTAGTGCCATTCAGCTAAGGCGTTACTGCTGTGGAAATTCAGAGCAGACTCCCAAGATCCTCGCTTTGTGAGGAATCATGGCAGCTCAGGGTGTGATCCTGACAAATCGGTAGTGTCCAATTCCTTGCTCCCCCCCCTCTTTTCATCTCCCAGCACTGAATAAATTGTTCATTTTTAGTCCCTGGTTCTCAAAAGATGAGTATCCAGCAACACTACATGGATTTACACCAAAAATATCTCCGGGGATGAGCAATCATGCCACCATTGGTGTTTGCTCTGCTTATTGGTAATTGTCTGCTCCTGTCTTTCTCGAAGACATGACTGTGTGTTAACGTAGCGTGTGATTTAATGTTGGGGATTGGAGTGCACCCCTAACTTTTTTAACAAGATAAGTAACCCAGGTCTATCAGCCCTGGCCTTAAAAAGTGCATCCCGGGAATCTTGAGACTTTTCTCAGCTTCGTGGGATTTGGCTCTGATGATTGCCCATGGCGACTGCAAACTCAAGGTTTCAAAAATGCTTGGCTAGCACTGCTAAGTCACTGTAAGTTTTTATGAGGGTACGTATATCCGCACTCTGTAAAGCATATTGGATGTGTTTTTTTTTTTTAAACAGTGACTTTGATTGATGTAAGGGTGTTACTAAATGGTTCCAAAACTCTGGCTGTTTCTCCTTTCTATTCATCTGAGATTCGTCAGTTCCCGAACTGTGTTGTGTGGCACTGGCACATAGTACCTACCCTTTTCCCACTGGAAGTCTTGGGGTTCAGTTTGCACAAGTCCACCTCCACATTTTTGAGGTTCCATAGAATGCCTCCCAAATTCAGGTTCTTAACATGGGGAATGCTGACGGAGAAATCCGGACAACGTGGCAAAATACAGATAGACAATTTGAGTGGCCCTTTAACCAGTTGCAACTGGTCTATATGAATTTATTGAATTGGCAAGTGAATGGAATTTTTAGAGGATTTTGGAATCGGTTCTCCTTTTTTGCAGCCAGTCCAGTGGGAAAGCAGGACTGGGGAGCACAGAGGGTTCTGACAGAGCTAATTGCACCATCATTTCTACTTACTGGGAGTTGCACTGCCCTTGACATTTAATGGCCACTTTGAGTGGTCCCCTGAGTTATAAACCTCTCTTGCCATTTGACTTGTTCCTTTCAAACACTGAAATGTCTAATTGTGCACTTCATATGAAGAATAAAAACAAGAAAATCATTGTACTTGTTTGCCCATATAGCTCATTTTTACCTTCATTTGGCCATGGTTGGACCAGAAAACAGGCCTTCTGCTCTATAAACATTGCATGTGCTGAAAATACACTCAGCGTACTCTGACATCCCACAGTGGTCCACTTTGAACATCTTGCTAGGAGCGGTGGCTATATGCTTTTGTGTAACCTTGAGTTGACTAAGCAGTTGGCCCCATCTGATATAATGGGTAATGGTTATTTGCCAACTGAGTTGCAGTAAAGTAAAAACGTCTTTTTTGCCTGCTGTATACTGTAAAACACAGTGTTATGAGAGTAACATTCGTAACAAAGTACACAGTCCTCATGGTAGCACAATAAGGATGATATGTTGGAATACACTTTGCAATCAGACCCAGGAATAAGCCCCTGGTCACATACACCACGACTAATGGTTCAAAGTAACACGGGTATCATTTTGTCTCCTACACATCTTTTGTAACTTCTTAAGGTTTTGTTTTTTTAATAGAACTAGTTAATTCCTTCATAGTGTCATGAGTATTTTCATGGAGTTCAATGTTGTGTGTGTTAACTTGGTCTACATTTTATGCTACAGGTTTCAGAGTGAATGAAATAAAACTTCGACCTCTGCTGTTGAAGCTCGTATATATATACACATTCTAAAAGAGAAATCAAATGAAAGGTCTCAGCGACAGCTAAAAAACAATGCTGTGGCAGCAGTTACGCTTTTCTGAGGAATGTGCTCATCAGTCTATGTAGACGTTATTCTGAGCTATTTTAAGAGCAGGCTAGAGTTTATATTCTCTTAACGAGCAGCTATGGTGTCTTCAAGAGTTATTTCTGAAATTTAAGACCTTTGGAAATTTTTATAGAGGAAATTAGCTCCATGGAATAGAAGGGCATTGATGGAAGATCAGAAATGCCTGGCGGACCTTCGTCCTCGGGTCACTTCTCCGCGAGCTGGTCTGCTGGGCCACTCCGCTAAGGGACTCTGCCACAATCACAGTGGAAAGAGCTGCCTATTGATTAGCACGTAATGGAGCCCTAGAGCTCACAGTGTCGCACAGGAAGGCATCATATCTTCAATTTTTCCTCTGCAGAGGTGGTGACCGTGGTGGCTTCAAAAATTTCGGTGGTAAGTGATGAGCATCAGAACTTTCAGTGGAAATACTTTATCAAAAACCAGATCGGCTCTAAAAAGCCACCATTTTCTTGTTGCATTCCAGAGCAAGGCACTCCCACCTGTTCCTATCTCTTTTTTTGTTAATGCCCTTGGGGGAACTTAAACCCTTATTATGAAAGTGCTGAATCAGAAGGGTACTGTTGCATGATGAGAACAGAAGAACCTCGTTGATCTTTACCCCAGAGAAAGGGGGATGAAAGCTGTGCCTGTGGCGAAGAAGGAGCTTGTTGTAGCTGGAGGAAACGTGGTGGTTTTTAAGTAGACTTCCCAGATACTGGGCAGGCATTACAAGGTTTTGCAGCTATACGAAAACTGGTGCATCAATGCCTTAAGTTTGTCTTCTGTGTATGTATGTTTTTTTTTTAACTGAGGTAGGGTGAAATGTGTAGGGATTGTAGTGAGAGAATGGATTTGCTGTTTGTTTTTTAGGCGAGGCTGGTGCACTGGTTTATTACGGCTCTCTCTCTTCCTCTTTGATCTCTTTCAGGCCCCAAAGATTATGGCCAGAAAGAAGCAGGTGAGCTCCGCGTGTGGAAAGTGTTGTGGGGGCTGCTTGCATCTGGTTTGGTCGAGGCGTCCCTCATGTCTTTCCGTTCTGCTCCTTTTCTGTACTTGTCATGGTTTCTCTCTCTATGAAGCTGCACATTTTGCGTGCTCCAGAATGTGTTGTTGGCCTGTGGGTTTTTAAGTCGTAGTTTGTGTAGTAGCTCTTCAGAGGTTTGTGCATAGATGTGCTGTCCCAAAACAATCTTGTCGTCGGATGTTTTGCTGCCGATTTCTTACCAACACCTCCCCAGCAACTCTCAGCCCCTGATGGTATGGAAATGTCAGTTTGCTAATTGGCTGCTGAGAGCTGCTTTCAGTTTTAGAATTTAGCCTGTTTATCCCCTGTAAACTACACTATTAAGTTATGAATTAATATTAAATTTAAGGGCATTGTACACTTGGCATAATCTTGGGACAGAGACCAAGTGTTGTACAATGACATACCCTTATCGAAACCAACATGCATGAAGCTTATTATTTTTCAGTACCAGCCCAAGACTGTTGGGCAAATTAGAGGGATTTTAAATCTAATGCAGTCTTTTACTGCTTCGGCAAAACAAGACTCTTTCAGCAGGATAGTGGTTTAGTTGACTGCGGTATCACTCATGGCACTCGATAGTCTAGTCTTGGTCTACGCATCAGTTATCCATTAGCCACTGAGTCGGCTAGGTGAGTCGACTGGCCTTTTCTCACTGTTAATTTTCAATGTTTTCTAATAGGTGGTGAACAGGACAACTCGGACAACAACACCATCTTTGTCCAGGGGCTGGCTGAAGACACTTCCACGGACGAGGTGGCGAACTTCTTCAAACAGATTGGCATAATTAAGGTTGGTCACTGCTCTCTTCCAGGTGGTTACCCAGTGAAAGGCTTAACCCCCCCCATTCTGATCCTGCATTATACATTTTGTAGTTAATGCTACTCGTGCGAGTAGTGAAAATCATTGTGACAATAGTTGACAATTGCCTGAGGGATGCATTGCTGAATGGTACCTCTTTGTTTCTCTTCTGTGTAACAGGTGAACAAGAAGACTGGCCAGCCTATGATTAATTTATACACTGACAAAGCAACGGGAAAGTTGAAAGGAGAAGCCACAGTCTCCTTTGATGATCCCCCTTCTGCAAAAGCAGCCATTGACTGGTTTGATGGTGAGATGTTTTTTTTTTCTTTCCACAAATGTGGCATTGGCGCTTGTATTTGCCTCTGCGTCTGTGAGCTCTGTAGCCCCTGTGGAAACGGTGCTTGAGATGTTGCTTGGTGATACCTGCTTGTGGAGCTATGTCATTTGGCAACCTGCAAGTTCCGCAGTGCAGTTTGCAGGAGTTGGCAACGATTGCTGGAGTGGTGACGGATCTCGGTTTGCCAGGAAGCTAAGATAACCAGCCATAACTAGTTGTTAGATACTTCATTAATCTTGAGGGAAATTGCAGAAATTGTTAGTGACATGACCCAGGCTTGAACTTGGGATCCTAGAGCCATTGGGCTCACTGTGTACTCCTAGATCCTAATCCGAGAAGCAGCCAACAAAGCTTTGGGTAACGTGAGCCTTCTGCTCTGGCTGCGACTGTATTGTATCCCCAGTTCAAACACTGCAGGAGTTCTTTGTCTCACTGTTGGCCTCTCCGTGCAGGGAAGGACTTCAATGGCCGGACCATCAAGGTGTCCTTCGCCACGAGGCGGCCTGAGTTCCTGCAGCGGGGAAGCAGAGGACGAGGTACTCTTTCAGTTCCTTCGTGCTACGGTGTTCGGTCCATCTTTAAGCAGGGCTACATTTTCTTATCAAATTACTTTTTTAGGTTTTTAAGGCCAAGCGAGAGGTCCTGAGAAATGGGGTGGGTTGGCAGCCGAGGGACTGGGTGTCTGTCAGTGGGCTCGTTGCTGTTTTCTAATGTAGGAAGGGCAGTATTCATGCACAACTTCATTTTATTAGATGAGCTTCCCAGCTATTGGCTCTTGATTTCAGTAACGGTTCTTCTTTGTTTTGCTTTAGTCTATGAACACGGAATCTTCCTTTTTCACTCTGCCTTGTCACTGTAGTTCATTGGATGTGCTGACATGCTTTCTGCGGTGCCTCTCTGACCTTCCCCTCTCTCCCTCTCTCTCTCTCTGCCCGTCCTGCCAGGCTCCAGGGGCTATGGAGGCCGGGGGGGTTACGGCGGAGGTCCCGGTGCAGACATGAAGGGGGGAGACTGGCTGTGCCCCAACCCGTAAGTCTGGGCCCTCTCAAGCCCCAGAGGTCACGCCACTTCTTTTTAAGAATTAGAGAAGCCTTGGGAATGGAGGTTGTTCGTACTTTTTATTATAGTATTTTCACATTCTTCGTGATTGAGGATGACCATAGTGCCTGTTGTATTTTTATCTGCTAAAGAACTTGCCTTAGTTCTTTGGGTTTGAAGGTTCAATTTTAGTTGAACTTAACCTAGCACGAGCACAGATCCATCTTGACCTTCTCAAATCTGACTTTTTCCCCACGATCTTTTACATGGGCTGACAGTTTTATCCCCAGCTTACGTTTGTTCCCGTTTATACAGCGGGGTGAACTGCCCTGTTCAAGGGTGCAGCGGCAGTGTCCGATGTGGAATTTGAATCCATTACCTGGAATCCTAAGCGCTGCTCGGCAGCACGGTTATTTTAATCAATGACTTGGTTCAGTTGCCATCAGACTGATCAATTGAAAACCTGTCATTGTGCTTTGAGATCAGAATAAAAAATATTTAGAAATTGGCACATTTCTGTGTACCGTAGGTGGGGTGTAAGGAGGATAGAAGTATGTTTCTTTCTTTTTGATGCCTACCACTTAATTTCTGCTGTGTCAGCTGCATGGTCATTCTCAGTTGAAAGGCTGAACATTTGCACAGCAGCCTAATAATTATAGTTCATGTTGTAGCTATAAAAAGCAAAGCCTACAATCCAAGTTAGTTTTGCTGCTGTCCATGCCTGTAATTTCATGGCTCCTGTTGACTCAATTACACGCTGGTGGCTACAGTTCAGAGATCGTTAATAGTGTTAAACCAACGTGGCAGAAAATCGGTGCCAGAGGACTTTTACTTGCTTTGTTTCTCGAGTCTGCTTGGAGGCGTTGGCTTTTTACACATGTTGGGCTTCATCAGAGGCACAGGCAGGGATGGGCAATGATTTCTGCCCAGGTCCTCAGCTAACTAAAATCTGACGTTTGAGAGATCTACAGCTGTTCTTGCGCAGGAGTTTGGAGTTTGCCTTTGCAGGCCCCAGAGCATGGAAAAGCAGAGGCAAATACAACGTTTCCCTATATTATACATACATTGTACAGTTGTCAGTCCATGTACTACAGTCCTGTAGTAAGTCCATGGGGAGTAGGGGATGCTGGTTAATGATACTCCAGCATGTTCAGAAATATACCATAGATGTGAAAAGTACATTTTAACCTATAACAAAACCTTAGTTCTTTTTGTTCTTGTCCGTTATGTCTCCCCCCCTCCCCCCGCGATGACGAAATCGCAGAAGTGGCGGCTTTATTTTGCCCTGAGAGTGGCTACTGCTGTGAAACCCAGAATAGCTGAGGAATGGAGGCCTGGTTCTTTTTTTTGCAGCTCCTGTGGCAACATGAACTTCGCCAGGAGGATGGAGTGTAATCAGTGTGGCACGCCGAAGCCAGGGGATGCTTCTGGAGGTACATGATAACACTTCATTGGTTCTTCATAGCAGTTAGCATGCTAGCAGTTCAGTGGGCTTGCGTCAGGAGAGTGTGGGAAACAAAGGCCGATTTTTTTTTGCACAAAAAAGACTATAATCTGTGACAAGTTCTCGTTACTTACCCAGTAAAAGTTTTGATCATGTGCATGAGTTTTTCCATGATGGCTGATTTTATTTTTTTCTAGTGTGCCGTCGCTGAAATACCTTTTAGAATGATCTCTGTAAAACAAAATCGACATGGTGTCCGGGTTTCAGTTGGCGTTTCGTCTCTTGCAGATCGTGGCGGCGGGAGAGGTGGGTTCAGAGGTCGCGGTGGATTCCGTGGGGGAGACCGTGGAGGAGATCGGGGGGGCTACGGGTGGAAAATGGGTGGAAGGTAAGACCTACGCCACTCTTGTGCTCGTCTTGAGCGCTCGCAGACTTTCCTGCACGTGAGCGTGGGATGCTTTTAGGAAGCACTATGCATTGGTAAAACGTTAAAATGGCCTTGTTTCTTTTCTGCTGTCCTGCCAGCCTTCTCTTTCCATCGATCCCCATCTAACAGAATCAGGTGTTCTTGTCGATTTTAGCTTTGATTTTTTTTTTTTTTCCCCCCACCAAGTTCAGTATTCCCCAAGACTGTAACTTCTGCACTCTGTTTTAGTGTTTATTTCGAATTGAACTTGCTTTGGGCAAAAGGCAGTGGCTACATGTGGTTGCCTAGCTCTGAGATCGTCAGGAGTTCAGGCCGTGCCCTAGTGTATCATCATGCCATTGCTCTTGGGGTGAAAGCTGCAGTTTGCCCGAACAGTGACGCTTCTTCTCTGACCCCCATCCACAGAGGTGAGCAGAGAGGAGACAGACGAGAGCGACCCTACTGAAGGTGGCTGGGAATCGAAGCTGTGGTGCGGGGAAGGATTTGCATTCCCAGTGTGGATGTTCACAAATGGGCCATGTGTTGCTTGCATCTAAGCCGTCTCGTAGCACAGACTTTGTGCAACTACTGTGAAAGACATTTTGGGGGGGTCAGTAAACTGTATGTGATAATTCTCGCAGGTTAAGGGGTGCAGGGCGAGGCAGAGCTGTAAAATACTGTATTGCCAAACTACATATCGTTTTGTATTTCTGAATAAAGCGTTTTACTTCAGATTGTTTGCAGCTGATATTAAACTGAAAATCATTCTGCTCTTTCATACTGGTGTCTTTTTTTTCCCCCTCTGAAGAAAGTTTGTTTTGCAACTTTTATGGTAGAGATTACAACTGCTTTCAGATGCTTGAGACTTCAAGCTTCCTTTTGAGCACTGGGATAGTTGGCTGAAAAAAAGTCTCCTACACCTTTTAAGTTCCACTCTGTAAATGTCTTTGGCTTGAGGAATAATGAGCTCTTGGAAAAGATAAAGTTTATGGGGGAGTTTTTTCAGGTAATCATTTGCTGCTGAAGGAGCCTTAAGTGTCTGTGGATGCATACAACTTCCTGCCTCCTCTCCTGTGGTGTTTTATAGCTTTAAAGGGGGCTATCCTGAAGAGGGTCTGTTTTCTAGGGGTATGGTGATGAATTCAGAAAAATAAGCATTTTAAAATGCAGACTGACCCTTAATACTATACAGTTATCCATGCCAAAGCAGGCATTGTAACTGAGTAACGCGGGAGATTAAATAACATCTAGTAATTAAATGGGGGAACCGGATGTGCTCCAGTCTTGCTCGCCCGTTACTCTCCCTCTCCACACGCGTCTGTACCAGGCTGGAGGAGTCAGCTGAACGGGCTCATTTACAGTCTCCATTAATCCGCAATCTAGTTGAATGCCGTAAATGACACATTATTTCGATCATTGTTGTGGTCAGCTAAACGAAATGGCAAATTCAACATCCGAACGTGTCGGGTGTAGCACCCTGCCCCCGCCTTGCAAGGTCAGTGGGCTGAGCGCTGAATTTCATCCGACTGCGCTTTTAACTTCCACAACTCAACCGAAAGAGATGGGTTGTTGCACTGCGCCGGGGGCTGGGTGACGGAAATCCTAATTTTTCAAGGCTGAAGGAGGATCTACGGCTTTTTTAAAAAAAAAAAGATCATTTCCATCAACCCTTCAGCCGCTGTGGGCGGTGCAAAGGCGGGCGAGGCGCGGAGCCTGCAGCGCGGTGCAGTTGTCTGTCCCAGCGCTGCGGTCCGGGATGGACAGTGGGAGACGGCGGCTTCGGGAAAAGACAATTGTCAGGGAAAAGGAGGAAACATGACATTCCCGTGACAGAGTCCCGTCGGGACAGCAAGCTTGCTCGCGGATGGTTTGACGTTGGGAAGCGTGACGTTCGCCGCGACTCTGTGAGGTGTTTCGCCGCAAGATGCTAGTTGGCGTGGGGGTGCAGGGGCGAGTGACCCCCACGATCTTGTCCCTTCTGCTGTGTCCACTCCTGTTGGCTACGGGCACGGCCAGCCTGCCGGCGGCCGGCAGCGAGGGTGTGGTGACCGCATCTGCCGAGGTAAAGGGCTCGCTTCGCTTAGCTAGGTCCGCACACCGCTCCGAGGAGACCGCAATCGCAGGGCTACAGTGGAGGAGACCGAGTCGTTTCTTTACATGATGACAGAAAGTTTAGGCAGCTTCATTTCCATCTCTAGGGTTATCTGTTTTCGTCTGTAGATACTGGGATTTGGAGTCCAAACTTCGGACTGATTCCTTTGTGCGTAAGCGTTTGATGAATTCCTCCCCAGTCTCCATGAACTACGGTATTCAGTACAATTTGATGTGTGGTTGGAGGTAAATCGGTAGGAGTGAAATATTTTATTAATTGTGTTAAGGAGTCGTCTTTATTAATTTGCATCAACCGTGCCGATCGAAGTTAGTGTTCGGACAATGACAAAACGAGCTGGTTTATTTATTAATTATGTAGCAAATTGTAATTGTAGTTCCAGAGCTCTGGAAAAGTCGGTTATTAAAGAATTTTCAAGTTTCATCAAGAACTCCTGTTCATTAAGGAATTCTTGGACTCAAAATGGGATAACACCTTGCTTTCTTAATTAACCTACAGTATATACCGGGAGTAAATCTGCCTTAATGTCTCACTTTTTTCACTGGGTCCCTGATTTAATTTAACTGATGTCAAGATTAATTTGTCACAACATCCAGCTGTGATTTGTCTGTGCCAAAGAAGCTGAAAGACCTTGCTTGAGGTTTTTCCCTTGCGATGAGGTTGTACACAGAGTACATTAACAGGCAGAGCTATTTCTGGGCGGACTTTTCAGCGGAATAATTACACACCTGAGTTCAGCTCCGCACGCCAGACTCTTGCTGGAGAGCGTCGGTTATGATTCCGTGTGCCGGAGGGCCGGGACCGTGCCCGGGGAGGCCAGAGTGAATCTCTGCTGGGTCCAGTCCGTCCCTGACGGTGCTGAAAGGGCTCGGCTCGGCTCGGCGGACACTGAGGACGTGCTGGTGTCGGGGGGCGCCGTGCGGAAGGAGATGCGGTGTCTTGGCTTCAGGGCTTACGAAATGGTACTTCACGGTTTTGAAGCGCTTTCAGTTTGCTTGCTGCTTAGTGTGGAATAGGGGACTGTGGCCTCCTAACCGGTGGGCTGTGGGTTCGAGTCTGTGCTGTAGCTGCTCAATTCCAAAGTACTTTAACCTGATTTCTGCGCCCCCCGCCGGCTGTATAAATGCGTTAGCAGCAGCACTGTGCTAGGGGTCGTCATGGAAAGGAGTTTCATCCTGGGGGAGCGTGCTCTCGGTCCTGTTTAACTGTTTAACGGGACAGAAACAGGGATAAGCCCCACCCCGCTGAGCCATATGGGTTTCCTTATTGGCCAGGACCAGCAAGTGCATGCCAGTTAACGAACCAGCTGCCTCTGCCACGCCCTAAACCTTGAAACCTATGTCAACCCAAAAGGCCTTTGCTCTGCTTCCAAACAAACAAAACAGAAAAGTGGAGAACCTTCTTTACACAAAGGGTGGTGGGAGTGTGGAACAAGTTACCCAGCTATGTTGAAGAAGCCAATATCTTGGCCAAATGGGTTAGGCAGGGAGATTGACCTCCTCTGTACGTTTGTAGCCCTTCTTATGAAGAGATGGAGTATGTAATGACGTATTGGACCTCCACTCAATTTCACCATAGCACCTATAGCACAACCAGGTCCTTAAATATGTGACTGAATTCAGTTTATGTTGAGGAAATAGTGGGTTTTAAAGATGAAATCAGAAAAATGTTTTTGCCAGAATTCTTCTCCAGGATAGCTTGCTGTTCGGCTCGTTGGCTGACTCCCACTGTACGCAGCAGGACACATTTCGAACCCTGCTCCCCAGACCTGCCCCTCTGCCTCCCAGCCTCACCCGGCCCATTGACCATCTGTTTGGCAGTGTTTAGTTCTGTCCATGTGCTGACCGCAACACCAAAGACGCCAGTTTTATAGCTGGGATATGAAATCGCGGGAACTGAATTGTGTGCCGATGGTTTTGCTTTTGAAAGGTGTTCCTGTATATGTGGACTGACATATACCAGCCCTGCTCCTGCTGCTGTTCCTGAATTAGCTTCTGACTAACCCCCCCTCCTTCCTGCATTTCCTAGGTAATCAGTACCAGACAGAGCACTGAACCATGAACCACTCTGTCATCCTTAACATGCCATCTCTCCACCCCTCTCTGCACGTGCCAGCATTGTAGTCCATCAGCATGCCTTCAGCACCAAGACATCTCTCACTAAACAATGCTGTAATCCGACCTTCTCCACTCTGGCACAGCTGGATTAGATTAGACCATCCACCAGTCTTGTAACAGCTAGAAGCAGCAGGCTCCCTTGATGGTTAAACACAGAAGTCCTCTAAAATGCTTGTAAATACACCAACTAAACTCCTCGTTCTGGAGCTCTTTCTCTAGATTTCCTCCCTAGTAAGGTAAGGTATGTGACTTGGCAGGGATCACTGAAGAGTGCAGAGCTATTTCCAGTACAGGTTTGTTTGTATCCCAGTGAGCATGTGCTTCTTTGTTTCTGAGAACTGGTTGCTCACTTCACATCACCTCATCGGTGATCCCAACAAAGCGAACTGTATTAGCATTAAAGCTGGAATTCTCTGGAGACCGTTTGGAGGGAGATCCGGTGCTGTTTTTGGGACGCAATCGTAGCCCGTGCTCAGCTACGGCACGCCGATGAGCCATGATAAGTGTGGCTATGGCTGCTGATTCTGACTTCATGCGTGGAAAAAGCAGAATTGGAGTCTCTTTAAATAGACGGCAGAAATGGTTCTGCTTTCTAGCACTGTAAAATGAATAGAACTGATTAATATTCACATCCTTCCAATTCCTATGTATCTGCCTGTCCAAGCTGTTGATCCTTTGTAAATGTAACCAAGTGGCCAGCTGAGCGGGCGCAGCTGGGCTCGTCTCGTTTGCAGTTATAAACCAACGACACAGCCATGCTGGGAGGCGAGGGACAAAGATTAGCTGTCAGTTAAATATTTCTCTTGCTTTTGAAGTAAGGAATAAAACTTGAGATAGAATTGAAATAAATCTGGGAAAAGCCCAGTCAGAGTCCTTGTGCCTCTCAGATTCCGAACAGAAAGGGAGGAGTGACAGAAGATGGTATTGCCTCTGCGTACCGACTCCTTTCAGCTTGGAAAACACGGAAGGGGAGTCAGTTCCTGGTAGTCTGCAGCTGAAGTACATTTTTACTAACAAGTATTGTCCTGTTCTGCCTTGAAGCAAGACCGACCTGGGCCTCCCCAGCTCGCTGTGGAAATAGCTTTTGTCTTAGTCACTCGGAGAAGAGTAATTCCCTGCTGCTCCATCGCCCTGAATTCTCAAGCTGATTTAACAGGGATTTCGTTGCGCATCAGATTTCTCTGTTTGTGAAGAAACGAAACGGAGGTTTACAAGCGTTTCGTGCTGTGTCTTCAATTCCTTTTCTTCTCTTCCTCGGCGCTGAAACAACAAGGGACAGATATATTACAGTGCTCCTGCTGGTTTTGGTGAGGGAATTATGAGAAAAATGTACAAAACTGTTTGTCTTTTCCTGCCGATCCCAAACAGAAAAGATGGAAAAGGGTGCAGGGGAGCAATCTTGCCTCTTTGCTTTTGGCTCTGTGTATATCCTCAGGGCCAGCGATGTGGTCAGTTTCCCATGCTTTTCTCGTCCACGAGAGGGGGAAACGTCTGGGGCTCCTGTTCAAGGGAGAGTTTTCTCTGCAATGCAAGGTGGCTCCAGTTTGCGCTTTTTGAAGTGGTGAATCTTCCCCACCACTGTGCGAAACACTCTGCTGATCCATCACAAGAGTAAAGGTTGCTGGAATGGAGTCCTAGTGGTCCTGCTCTCCCCAGCTGCTCCCAACAGGAGTCCTGTTTTACAAGCCACAGCTGTGGGAAGAATGTTTCTCTTGTAGCTATACTACTAGTGAGGTATGGCTATAGATATCAGCCCCCTGACTCAGGCTTATTCACTGATTTTAACTTATTAGTATTGTTCCTAATTAGGAACAAGTAAAGGTTTATTCCATGCTGAAAAGAGAAGAAAAGAGACACAATGTTTCAGCTGTGGAGCTTTTTCAGGTGTCACACCTTACCACACCTTGTTTCTCTTCTCTTTTCAAAAAGAATACACCTTCACTTGTTCCTTTGCAGCCTGTGCATGCTGATGCAGCTCCCTGCTTGAACAACTTCTTCCTAATTATGTGCTGAACTCTAATGATGATGCTTCTGCCACTTTGTTGAACAGTCCGTCGCCCTAGCAGGGTTTAATGAAGACTGTAGTTCATTCGATGTCTGATCATCAAGCAGATGTCTCTAGCCGTCTCCCATTTGAATGAAAAGCAGCACAACATTAGTAAAAGTGGAATATTGGAAACTCAAGCAGTCAACTTGCGGGGCACAGTGATGAAAACAACATCAGTAACTTCGAATTTTAAATGTAATCAGAGCACTGTGGGGTATTTGAAGCGATCTCTAAAACAGAAGGTATTGTATTACATATACACCCAGCTGCAGATGATTAGAAACGGTTATATTCCTAAATTTAACCTTATATCTTATATCTTGGGACAACCTGAGTCATTTATCCGGACCTCTCAGGACCTGGCCTCTTAAATTTCAGATTTTCCATAAAAACCCTTTTACTGATGATGATTTTTGCCAAAAGACAACTTGCAAGAAAGGATGGTAAGTAGATGGAGAAGGTTTAGATGACAAGTAAGTGGACTAAACAATGGTGGTTAAGGTTAAATTCATGGTTTCTTCACATCTGCAGCTGGATGTGTACTGGATGTAATACGCTGCCCTGTATTTTAGGGATTGTTTTAAATACCCTGCGGCTCTCTGATTGTGTTTAAAGTTGGAAGTTACTGATGTTGTGCCAGACGCTTTAATCACTGTGCAGGGAGCACAGGATGTGTGCGATGACTGAGGCTCGTGTTGCTCAGTTGCGCCACCACTGCAGGCATCAGGGGTACGTGCACGA